TTAACAAATGATAAAATTCATCTTGCTAGTATTCCAATTATTTATATTTGTTTCTGTAATATAAATTCAATTATTACTATCTTTGTTTAAAGGGAACGCTATGGGCTATGTACGAATGATAAGATCTGGTGGACTTCACTGTTGCAGCAGTGCAATTAGGTATGCACCAATATTTTTTAGCTTGTCTGTCCACGTTGTACATCTTTTGCAGATCTTCCTGCTTCAATTTTTCTCTTTATAGTTAACATACATTGCAGTAATCGTTTGGATGTATTGTTTCTGTTTGAATATATTATACTGGTACATCTGTTTAGTAAATTTAAAATTGCATACTCGTATTAACACGGTGGCTCAGTAGTTAAGACACTGAGCTTGTTGATCAGAAAGGTTGGCTGGTTGCTGGTTCGAATCCCTAGTGCCTCGTAACGGAATGAGCTCCTGTTACTTGTCCCAGCTTCTGTCAACCTAGCTCAGTGTTGGCGAACCTTTTCGGCACAAGTGCTGAAACGGGAGCATGCATGTGCCGGACAGCTGGTCTTCCGGTTTCCGGCACGCGCATGCACACCAAGCACCTGGTCTCCCAGTTTCTAGCATGCATGCACATGTGAAGACCAGCTGTCCAGAGCGCATGCAGGCGCCGGAAACCAGAAGAGAAGCCACTCGGTGCGCATATGCACACTGGGAAGATGATCTACTGATTTCTGGCATGTGCATACGTACCAGCCACTTAGTCTTTTGGTTTCTGGCGCACATGAAGATGAGCTAACCGGTGTGAATGCACATGCTGGAGACTGGAACATCATCTTCCCAACATGTTTATGCACTCCGAATGACTGCTCTTCTGGTTTCTGGCACTCCCGCGCATGTGAAGACCAACTGGCTGGCGCACTGGAAGAGCAATGGCTCGTGTGCCTGGAGAGATGGCTCTGTGTGCCACTTCTGGCACGTGTGCCATAGGTTCGCCATCATGGACCTAGCTGTTTGGAAAAAAATGCAAGTAGAAAAATAGGGACCACTTTCGTAGGAAGATAATAGCACTCCGTGCACCTTCGGCATTTAGTCATGCCGGCCACCTGACCACGGAGACGTCTTCGGACAGTGCTGTCTCTTCAGCTTTGAAATGGAGATGAGCACTGCCCCCTAGAGTCGGGAATGACTAGCACATATGTGCGAGGGGAGTCTTTACCTTTACCTATTAAATTTTCAATAATTTGACAGTTCATACTTGTAAAAATTATAGTAACATGATAGCAAGTTTGGGTGTCAGTATAAAAGTGTAAATAATACAAAGAGCACAAGATGC